TTCTAATTCTACTATCGTTTACCTAAAATCAATATTTGAATTACAAACACTTTTGGCAGCATTCTGGAGCCTGACTTAAAGGATATGCTTCCTCGATAATTTATGAGAATCATAAAGCAGTACTTTATGAGCTCATATTATTCATTAAAACCACTGACGTGGAATGTGCTAAATTACATAACCAACATTGATTGTCCTGCAATACTAATCCAGTCCGGACACAGCTTATCTGCCTCGCATAGATCACTGAGGCTGTTAGAAAGCTTTGCAGCAGAAATGCTTAATGTTCTCTCAGCGTGATATTCCTTAAGATCTCCATGAAGAGATGCTGCTGATGTGTGGGCGCTGAGGCCGCTACAGGAAGCTACCCAGGTCTTCTACACTCAGAGTGATAGCTGCCAGGTCCTTGGATTGATTTTCACTGGCTGAAGTCCAGGCGCTGCCACGGTTTGGAAAGTATCCTTTTCTACCTTGTTTCAGTTTGACCGCAAATATGCAAAGATGGGGAGAGACCCCAACGCGCTGTCTGTTTTCTCTTGGCAAATATCTTTAAAAGATTTATTGTGATTAATTGTTACATGATGCAATCATAATATATTAACATGAATCTAATCTTTACCCCAACACTGATAGTCACACACAACTTTTAGTTTTTCCCAGCATTAATTTAACACTGAAGTGACAGCTCATGTCACTGGACACCTCTGCAGAGGTTTTGGTAAACCCTGCAGGAGGAAGGATATTGCCCAGAGCAAACAGACCACACTTAGTTTTGTATAGACAGCAATGCAGCCTCCAGTCTCTGAAAATATCTCTGTGAGTAGTTCTTGAAGCAGTGTTGACTTTTTATTTTTTTATTTTTTTTATTCCTGGCCTGTGATGATCATGATTGTTTGTGGATTTGTTTGTTTATTATTCATGTAATTTTTGATTCGGTGAATTAAAATTATTCACCGCACCTCTGCTTGTCTTTCTGGTGTCTCCCAAATCATGAATCTTTCATTTAGTGTAATATCTGTTATTTTTAAATAGTTAAAATACTTCCTGACTGGTACTAGAAAGCATGCCTCTGTCACCCCCGTTCTTGCTGATTTGCACTGGTTACCCATAAAATATCGTATCGAATTTTAAATATTGTTGCTCACCTTTAAAATCATAAATAATTTAGCCCCTAGCTATCTTGTCGATCTCCTGTCCATATGTCCCTGGGCAAGCCCTCAGGTCTTCAGCCCAATTACTCTTGGTTAAGCCTAGATCTAGACTTAAATCTAGGGGTGACTGTGCTTTTGCCCTGGTTGCACCTAACCTGTGGAATAACCTTCCCATCACTATCCGTGGTCAGACTCCATTTTATCTTTTAAATCTCGTTTAAAAACTATCTATGTACTTTATCTTTTAGTTATATCAGTTCTCAGTAACTTTATCCTTATATTCCCTTTACTCCTGTATAATTAGTGCCCTCAAGCTGTTGACATATGTGTTACTTTGTCAATAGTCTTTTCTTTAATCATGTTTTAATGTTCCTGTTTCTATTCTAAAGCTGGTTTTTTAAATGTGCTATATAAGTACAGTTGTATAGTGGGTTTTCACGGTGCGTCATCAAACCATATTGGAGATACTGGAGGTAAACAAAGCGCGCGCACTCAAACAGATTCCAAACGCCGAACAAAAGGAAACGGTGAATTATTGCCGTGTTTTTGGCTGTACCAATCGGTCAGACCGTGAAAAACATTTGCAGTTTTATAGACTGCCAAAAGTTATTACAAATCAGGGAGAACAATGCCGAAAGTTATCAGAGGAAAGGAGGCAGTTATGGTTGGCGAAGCTAAACCAGGATCTACAAGGCAAAATTCGGACAACATCCGAATTTGTTCTGCTCATTTCTTTTCTATAGTTAAGCATACTTAACAAAATATACTCGAATTACACTACTTTTTGATAAGGGATGATATCATACAGTTAAGGTTTGGTTGATTAAAGATGTTATTGCATTACTTACTTTAGCATTCACAACATATCTGTCGCTGATGACTTGATACTGCATATCCCTCACCCATCCATACACCATCTGGTTATAGGCCTCCAAACCTTTATAAGATTTAAGGTCTTCTGCTGTCTTCTGGGCGAGAAAACCAGGTCGTTGACGATATCAGGATACGCAATAGACGGAAGACTCTCCGGGTCGTCATTGATCCAAGATGAAGGAGCCAACTCGTTTGGATCTGCACCACCAATAAACCTTAACTTTTCCAAATATCGTGCCATTTCCTGCGGAACAAGTCCTGCCCTGTATGCCTTTGCATCTATAACGCACTTTGAGGAGCTTTTCTGTGGTTTCGGGCATTGATCCATTGCAGTGTTCACCTCCGAGTGCCTCCAATATGGCCGCGCATGCAGGTTACTGCCCAGAATTGTATTGTATTTTCATTCCATCATTTTAAGCTACCAAACAATGTAACCTCATATGCTCATTATCATGCAACTACGGTATCCAAGACTTCTAGTAGGTCAGCATTGGATTTCTAATCCAGAATCTCACCTGGACAAACTCCCCTGCACATCACGCAGTTTCTGATTTCACTTAGTGACAGCTTAACTCAAACAGGCTGCAGTTCAGAGCGAACCTCACATCGGCAAATGATTTCACTGATTAGCATAATGTCAACCAGGCAGGAGGTGGTTGTCAAATAAAATCAGCTGCTTAGTGATCCTTAGGTAAAGCCTGCATGCTCTCTGACTCATGTGGAACACAGATGCTTATTTCTGCAGTACAGTACCAGACTCTCCGATACCTAAAAATATGGAAAGCAATGTGTTGACGAGGCTGCTACGATGGTGGTGGGAGTCCCATCAGCGCTGAAAAGGCTGAACATATGGCTCATCCTGTGATGTGATTTAGAATGTCTGCAACCCAAGCAGATGCAGGAATCAGAGTATTAACACAAAATGCCCAGCCATCATGCAGATCGTAATGGATCGTCTGCTAATACGTATTTGAACTGCTCATTATTTTAGCACTTCTACTGTGTTAGACGGTGATAAATACTGTATGTGCATTTGCTAATGTAAACAGGCTTCATATGTATTCAAGCTGCACCAAAGGAGCTGAGTGCTGACAAGGCACATACAGGCATGGAGAAAACAAAGAGAGCGCGAGGGGAAGAATAAGGAGACGAAGAGAAGGCTTGTAATGAGGATCCTTTTGCTAAGGAAGAAGGGGGCGTCTCCTGGCTGTCTTAATAAAGCAGGAGGGAGGCAGCAGTGGGACAGTATTAATGATGTGCTCAGCTGTCTAGATCATATCTGTCATGTTCATACAAAAAGAATGAGAGCGAAGGGAGGATGGTGAACATATCCTAAAGATGAAAATAGACATTTATGTGTTTTAATATCAGTTCAATGTGATTATTAAACCGTGTGATATATTTTAGGTTGGAGGAAACATTAAATTGATTTACTTAACAGTAAAATCGTGTAATCGAGTTGTCGTGTGGTCAGATATTTTAGCCTCCTGCAATATGGATGCTGTCAGGTAATCCCGATGTTTTATACTGCAGCATAAAACTCTATGTGTGTGTATATGTTTGTGGTCCACATGGTGCTTATCATACTGGGACCTAAATCTGTTTACACGGTCACATTATGGAGGCTTGTCATCGTTATTGGGACATAAAGTAAGTCCCCGTAACATAAATCATTAAATTTTAAGTTGAAGACAGCAGATATTGCTGGGCAAGAGAAGGTCAGAGAGGAGATTGAGTTTTCTGAGTGAGAACAGTCCCTATAGAAACCAGGAGAAAAGCAGAAAGTGAGATATGGTTGTATGGAGCACATGGGAAAAGCCCTTCAAAGCTGCTTCCTAATCCTCTTCTATCCCAGACCCCCTCCCTTCTCCTTCTCTCAGTTTAATCTCCGACACTGCATTAACATTTAAATTTTTCCACAGCTATTTGAATCTATCCTATGCTGCGACCACCTAGATTTATGCATTTATACTAATTACCTACTGCTAGGGTGGGAGGTGGATGGTTTAACCTTCTCACAGCTAATTTCTCATGATTTCTCCAAAGCCTTGACGCAGCCCGCAGGGGGGGGGGAAAAATGACCTTTTCTAATTTTATTATCAGCAATATAAACAAAATGACACTAATAAGCATAATGTGATGACACCTTTAAAAACATCTCATTCCATTTCATTTTGGAGCATCAGATGGTAATAATGAAGCTGACCAAATATTTGATTGGCTTTTATTTGCAAAACATGATTTGCATATATTTTTTTTTTTAATCTCAGACATATTTCCTGAAACAGGATGGATGGTAGGAAAATATAACCATTACCAAACCAAATGGAATTTCAGATCCGGTGTGCCTGTTGTCAGGACTTCCAAAACACGGTTGATTGCGAGATTTTGCATGACATCTTGGATTAGCTCATTCCTCACTCCTCATAGGTTTTAGTCCATATTGACATGACAGCATCACACAGTTTCTGGAGATTTGTTGGCTGCACGTCCATGAGCTTTGTACCATGGTGCATTATCCTGCTGGAAGCAACCATCAGAGGATGGGTACACTGTGGTCATAAAGGGATGGATAACACAGTGGTGTTTAAACAACGCTCAATTGGTACTAAGGGGTCTAAAGTGTACCAAGAAAATATCCCTCATGTCATTATACCACCAGCAGTGGCCTGATACGAGGCAGGATGGATCCATGCTTTCATGTTGTTTATGCCAAATGTGAAGAAATCACGATTTATCAGACCAGCCAACGTTTTTCCAGTCTTCTGTTGTCCAATTTTCCAATCCGATCCAGCTTTATTTATAGACCAATTAAAACAAAACAGCTTACTTGATCAAATTCCAATTAAAAGACAGAATTAAAATAAAAAACACATATTAAACAAACATAAAAAATAAGACAAAGTAACAATAAGTTTAAAATAAATACAATTAAAAAGACTTTAAAAGGTTTTATTAAAAGTAGAAGATTAAAAAGTGTCCAAATATTGACTCAAACTGACTAGAAGCTAATTGTCATGGAGAAAATGTGTATTTTTAAATGTGATTTGAAGACCTCAAATGTTGAAAAGCAAACAATAAAACTTCAAGAACAACAATGAAATGGACAGGCAACCATTATGAAGAGCCGAGCGCAGTTGTAATGTGCTCATGTTTTGTGAACTGAAGCCTTGGTTTCCTGTTCTTTGCTGACACAAGTGTTCTGCTGCTGTAGCCCATCTGCTTCAAGGTTACATGTGTGGTGTGTTCAGGTTTCCTTCCTATCAGCCCAAAGCAGTATGGCCACTTTCCTCTGACGTCTGACATCAACAAGGCATCCAGACCCAGAGAACTGCTGCTCACTGGATATTTTCTCTTTTCAGACAGTTTTTTATAAACCCCAGAGATGGTTTTGTAGGAAAACCTCAGCAGAGCAGCAGATTCTGACACACTCACACTAACAACAACGGCAAGGTTTACTGCCACTTAATTCACCTTTCTTCCTCATTGTGATGCTCACTTTGAACTTCAGCAGGTTTTCTTGGCCGTATCTATGTGTTTAAATGCATGAATTACTGCCATGTGATTGGCTAATTAGATATTTCTCCTAAAGAGCAGTTGGCAACTCTTTCAAGTGTGCCTAATGAAGTGGCCAATTAGTGTGCACTGTTTTGAGACATTTGGACAATGTTTGTTTGTTATCTGCCCCAACAACACTGGGATCGGTGTCACTGTGGGAAAAGCTGTTAGCAGTTAGCAATCCGCTGGATCTCTAGTGGGAAGGTTTTTAAAGTGTTCAGCAAGTCAGCAGCGACACAAAAGTTCAAACCACAAAAAAATGGTAGATGTTAAAAAACTAGTGAGAGCTCAATGACTTTTCAAGTTGTTTTAGTTTCTCTTGGGTTTGAGAGATGCTCGGGTTAGAGGAGGAGGAGGAGGAAGAGACTGTTGTTTTGGTGCTCTGCCACCAAAAACCTTATCTGCCCTGCTGCTGTAGTGGAAATGAATGTCATCAAAGCTCGGCTTGGATAATGGCCACAAAAAAGGTATCATATTATGGTTTCAGCTGTGCTAATGAAAAAAATACCCTCTCTGAGGCCTCAAACAAGGCAAGGTGCCAGTTCTACTTGACAGTTCAAAACAATATTTTTTTTTCATTGTTGTGTGTGCTCGCCCTTTGGGCATCTGGTAATTTCTCAGCACAATTAATTCAAGTAGACTTTGTTAAAAGGTCAATAGTGAATGATAGATTATGTTGTTTTTAATTATATTTTTTTCTGTAACACCGCTGAAAATGAGATAACGAATGAATTCGAATACAAGCCCTTTTTACTGTGTGTGCTACCTGCCAGTGAATGATAAATAGTTCAGGTTAATTTGCTCACGCTGCATGCATCATTCCGCTGAGGGTTTATAAAACTTCACTGATGCACATTTAAACATCTTTTTATACCGCTGACTGCAAAAATGATTCGAGGTACATTAGATAACAGGCGTCGTACACCTGAGCAATGTCATATTTGTGAATTTACATTCTCAAAGGTGCTGACGTCAATCAAGTCCAACGCCATTATGAGAAAAAAAAATATGTTGAGACCTTTTACATCTCAATTTGTTTCTGAAGCGGAGCCAAAGCTCACTAATTAGAATGATACTGCTTTTGGAGCTGCATGCCACAACTATGCTTTCTAATTTCAAATGTGTGTGACGGTGGTGCGGCCCATGTGGGTGGTGTAAATCCCTCTCAGCTCACGTTCAACACCGCCGAGAGAAAAGGCCGAACATCACTGAACGTTGTCACTGAGTAACACGATATAAGACCGTTTTTGTCTTAATGCGTTAAAGCCTTCAGTATCAACTTGTCATTCTTTTGATTTTTAAAAGGCTGCAAAAAAGCAAAAATATAACAAGCATGCATGTGACTGATTTTATTATGACAGTGATGCACACTGTGTGAGAAAAGCAGGTGATGGTCATGATTCTAAATGTTACATTTTGGCTAATATTCCTGTATCACTAGCACAGCACGACAGATATATGGACATACAGTTTGCTGCAGAGTACCTATGCGGTACACTAGGTGTGACACGGCTTGTCGCTGCTCTATTCCACCCCTGAGTGCTGTGAAGCTGATTTATAAGTGGGAGGAGCCCGCGAGCTGCAATCAGCCCGTTTTCATCAGCATTATAGCTGCCTGACAACATCCAGCTGTCCCCGATGTGCCACAGAGGGCTGATGGTGCTCATCGCAGCTCTGCAATATTACCACAGCACTCACTGTGATAAAAATATATAGTCGACACACACGGATACTTTCCTAGAGTCAATCATGCAGACAGACACTTGTAGAATAGCTTTGCTTTGTTTTTGTTGTCTTTTTATTTATTATTTTTCTTCATCTAATAATAAAAATAATAATAATGTCGTTATTATTAATATTTTTATTACTCTACAACTTGTTTCTTAATATGAATCTTAATCTTGCATAGTTTGATTCTTGTGGGTTACGCTTGATAGTTGCTAGCAGCTTGTGTCAAGGGACTTGGAACAAGTGAATGAATTTTACAAAATGATGCTGCAATCTACTTCCAGGATGAGAGCACACCTAATCAAAGCCCTGACTCAACAATGCATCAGCGTTAGGCAATCTCTCTCTCTTCCCTTTTTCCTGATGCCGCCTCTCCAGCTGCTCCCACTAACTTGTGATATAATGACATTATACTGTAACCTGATAAATTGTGAACCCAGCTGGCTATATCTGGTTTTGCTTTTACAACAGCTGGGATGCTACATGCACCGGGCGCTGCTGGTGCAAAGCGCAAAAATCAACAGAAAACATCCAAGCACAGCTATAAGTCTTCGTTTGAGCCGAGTTTGAGAATTGACGACGTTGTTAAATCATTAAACAGTGTCGTTTGTTTGGAAAAAACAAAACAGATCGGTCCTGTTTTGTACGTGCTGCTCTCAAAAGTACAAATTATGGTCCTAAAATTGTTTTTATGTCATTATGTCCACTATGTTTGGGTACAGTTTTGGTTAATTGTCAGGGTGCTAGTGTGAGCATTCATGTTAACACAGACAAAGCTGCACTGTCTGAGGTTGCTGTCAGGAGGTCCAGCCTCTGGTTGCAAAAGGAAGTCTAAAGATTCTACAAATGTACTTGTACTTGTATAGTACTTTTGTACTCTAACTGAGAATTCAAAGTGCTTTTTAATGTTAGTCGCATTCACCCAATCACACACATTTATACAAGAGCTTTTTTTCTGCGCCTAAGCACCTTGCCTAACATTCACACACACACTCACGCTCATAATCCAGTGGATGCTTCAGGGAAAACACTGAGTTTAACATCCTAGCTCAAAGATGCGCCTGAGCTTGTACGCTGGAGGAGCCAAGGATCGGACCACAGGCCTTCTGACTGGTGCCCTACCTCCTGAGCTACAGCTACCCCTGAAGTCTATGAGAAAACAAACTTCCTCCTTACTTGTTTGAGACCCAAGGGGGGAAAACTGATGATTTTATGGTCTCTGGCTCTGTTTAACAGAGAGAGAGAGTTGGAGTTAAATAGACAGCAAACAGAATGTGCTTGTGGACATGGCTACCTCGTGAGTGACAGTGTTCTCAGTCCGGTCCACCCTTTGCTCCTGCGTGTGGTTTAAGAACTGAAACCAAGAGCACAACAGAGAAAATGCCAAAATCAAAGCTGCAAAAGGACAGTACAGAAAGCAGCATCCAGTGTCAGAGCAACTATGTCCATCTTTTGTAAACACTCCCTGTTTTCTTCAGCGCGTTAAAGGAACTAATTCTTACCATAACCTGAACTTTAGAATAGCAGGTTAGCTTGTTACAGTGAATTCACAAAGTATTCCCACTCATGCACATTTTGTCTACTTTATTATCTTGTGTTTTTAATTCTAAAATGAAGACAGATTTTAAAAATGGTCATTTTCTCCAATCAATATTTTATGTATGTGTTCCAGTAAAGCAAGAGTAGTACGATATGTACAGAGGGTCACAGCAGTCTGATTTTGATTAGACTGATTTGTAAAAGAAGCAGTTACAGCTTTATGTCTTCTTAGATTAGTCTACAGGTGGTTTATTTCATTGCTGATGTGAATGCAAGTGTGGTTACTAACTCAAACTATATAATTTCTTCATGTCAAACAAAATTAATTCATATGAAGGTTATTTAAGACATTGCGTGGAGGGCTTCCTGACTTTAATCATTAAACTGTTATTCTTTCAGAAATATGTACTAGACAAGCTAGATAAATTCTTAATTGCACGATACAATGATGGTATGTAGAATTAATTAGAATAGGGCTTTGTGTGGCCAGGATGGCCACACAAATGCAAAAATGCCTCAACTTAGCCATGGTTAAATTCTGTTTTCTTGGCAAATTAATTTTTAGACAGAGCGTAAAATAAAAAAATATGTTTTCTTCTGCTAGGCTGAACATGCAGACATTTATTGATTTTGTTTCTCTCCATCTAATGCATTCAAGATATAACAGTACCGCTCCGCTCAGCTGAGGAACAGTCTGCTTTTGTTCTATCAAGCATAACTAACAACCGTCATTTGTATCATTGTTGCCGCAGCTGGATGACGGTTGTCTAAAAGAAGCGGCTCTGTCTTTCCTGCACAAAAAATGCAGACTTGTTAATGTGCGCAGCCCTATTACTTAATAGATTACACTTTAAAGCGCGCATACAATCGTGGCTTTATTTGCAGGTAAATGTTGTCATTAGTGATTGCAGCAGACACCGAACTAAACGTGTTTCAAACAGATGCGCCTCTATTGAGATCAAAAGCAACAAACAGAAGTCGGTAATTTGGCACACATTTAATGCAGCGGGCTTTCATAGCGCGAAAATGATGGTAATTGAAATGCGGTGTCACTTGGCAAACTGCTGATGTGAGAAAGGTAATAAATGAAGAATCAAATAGTCCTTAACATCTTCCCCTCACTGTCATTTTATCTCCTGTTATCATCCGAGAGACAGTTACCGCTTTGTTGCTACCCAGAAGGAACCCTGTTTAAAAGTGACGCCGACGTTCCCTTGTTCTCGCGCAGAGGGCTTCAGATCTCGGTCTAATCAGATTTAATGGACGTAAAATGAATCGGTGAAACCACGGTATCAATCGTTCTCTTTCTTTTCATCAATATACCAGAGACTCGTCGCTTTGGCGGTAGGACTTGAGTGCTGGTGAAACATCCAAACCACTAGGTAAACAAACCACTGGTAAGAGTGCAGTCCCACTGAAAGAGGACATTTTCTCTAAACTGTTTTGTTTTTTTTAAACTATCACGTTAAGGATGCTAATTTGAGCGAGCACACATGTTAGACTCATACAGTGACAGAAGTGATGATTGCTGCTGAAGATACAGACACAGTGACCTTTCTCTATTTCTTTTTAAGGACATAAGAGTGGAAATGATGGAGCACGCTGTGGGAGAGGAAAAGGCCACATACAGCCTCTGGGCTCCTTCATGCCTCCTAGAAATGGAGCCAGACTGATCAACATAAACAAGGATGAAATTATTTGCGGCTGTCTCACAAAAGTATGTAACTGATCGGGTTACTCGGATGATCACAGCATAGACATTTCACATCTACCTTTTTCATTGCTGTTTGCCTGATGTTGTCCCGTGTTAAATAATGCTCATTAACAACAATGCTGGGTTAGTTTCAACATTAAGCAGAGATTTCTGTCCGTTCTTCGCTTTCACAGCACACAGTATGAAAAGAGGATTCATTCATTATCACACCACAGACAAATTAACAGGGGTGTTTCTAAATACCCCGGGTTCTCGCAAAGACACCCAGCCCCTCCATGCATTGTTGATGTTGTTTGGGCTCAGTTCGTCTGTGGCAGATTGGCTCACGGGGAAGCTTGCAGACATTTGAATTAAAGCTGCAAAACTATTAAAAATGTATGGCCCTGTATGAATGCATGACCTATATTTTCCATGCAAATAAATAAATAAACAGGGTTTAGAGGGGATGATGCAAATCTTCAGAAGTGGGACACAGGATGAGCTAATGACAACAATAAAGAGTTTGGATTTCACACTGAGAGCATAATGGAGACCAATCCTGTGTTACTCATTCCCTCACCTCCTCTCTTTTGCTTCCCCCATAATCAGGCTATCCCACAATGCACCCTGCAATATCCATCCCAGCGTGGTAGTGTTTGAATTGGCCTCTCATGGTTCAAGTGCATATTGTGACTCACCTCTCTCTGGCTTTCATGCGGTGTGTTTTTTACAGACTTGACATTGACACAAGGTGGTTGTTGGAGTCTTTTTCTTATTGACGGTGATGCGGCCTTTCTCCTTTATTCTGTCCCCAGATCATGTCTGTCTGTCTTCTTTTTTCTGCCTCTCTTCTTCGCTCCTCTCCCCTCGCCCTGTCTGCCTGCCTCTGTTGTCTTGGTAGATTTCTTCTTCACTGCCATTCAGACGATGTCAAGGACCATGGCAGGGAAAATAAAGGCCACTGGTTTCTTGCTTCATGATGGGCTGTCGTCTTGTGACTGAAGCAGCTTCTAAAATTCACTGTAGGGGGGGAAAAAAAAGTGGTAAACAAATGCGTCAACCATCAGCCAAAGAAAAAAGATCTGCGTGACACTTTCTCTGCTGGGTTTCTCTGCCAGCCCAGGGTTGCAGCAGTGTCTCTCTTCTTAAGCGAAACCAAAAAAAAGCCTTGCAGTTAAGAAGAAGACTAAAAGGCTTTCGAGTCAAGGCATTAACATCAATTTGTCGTTTGCGTACTGTAGATGAAAAGGTCATCTTGTTATCTCTCACATGGTCTTATGTGACATTAGTGTTCAGCCTGAAATCTGTCTATAGACCATTGAACCGGGGACGTTATACTGACTCTGTGACAAGTGAATAACCTTTTACCTTGTGTTTTTGGCAAAGGCCATCCTGTCTCAGAAGCAACTCTGAAGCTAGCACTCCTTCCTCTCAGTAAGTTTGTGCCTGTGTGTATCAACTAATGTGTATGTGTGTGTGTATGTCTAGGTTTAGGCAAGGCTGTGGGCTGTTTACACGAAGCATAAAAGTGTATCCATGCTGAAATGACTAATTGGGAAATACAGTGCACAACCTCATTTGATGCACCAAGCAACTTCCTTCCTTTGCATGAATAACTGCAGGCTTGTGCCCTAAATACAGTACCTATGTGAAGCTTCCTACACCATGGCAGCCAGTAGAGTATTGATCTTATGAGCACTGCTAGATGATGAGAATCCCTGCACGACATTGTGCTTTTTAGCCTTCTTGTGTGCATTTTGGCTTTCACTCCGAGGGACTTTTCACCCCGCCTTTTGCACCTCTGCTCTGGCTTAAGCCACAAGACTGGCATCGAAGGGCCAGTAAAGAAGCTTCTTCTAAATAAACCTGACAGCGAAGCCAAGGTGTGGTGACATGCAAATCAATATTTCACAACATCAGCCACCGGCTGGTGGAGCACGGAGGAGGGGTGACAAGGTGCACCCAATACTGTCAGTGATTTAGACCGCAAGGTAAGTCAAGGGAATCCAGTTAGTGGTTGCATCTTGGTTACAGTTGCACTACACGCAGTAAATATAGTAGGGCAAATCACAAGCCAGCTAGCATGAAGTCATTTCTGGTTCAGCACCCAGTCCACATTCACCACTGCTTTTGCAGCAGTTTAGCTCCCAATTTACCGGAAGATAAGCTGGAAGTTGTTGATCACACTGAAATGACATCTGCGCTTTGTTTATCCACCATACGTGCCATAGCTGTTTGCAGTCTCATAGTGGAAAGAAAGGATCAGCGAAAGCAAAGCAGATGGCTCGCATATGGATGCAATTGCTCCGTCGTTGAATTGTACAATTTAGTTGTACAGATCGGCTAAGCGGCATGTCACAACACAAGCGCTGCTGATGCAGCTTGGCAGCCGTTTGAACGGCAAACATGTCATTCAGTTGTAAATTATGTTTCACGCAAGGTCACCTTGTGTAAAGGTTGGGAAGGAGAAGGAAATGAGCTGAGGGTGTAATTCATCTCTTCACGTCAGAGATATATATATCACAGTTAAACTCCCAGATAGCACCAGCACAAACTCAGCACAGATGTCTATATTTATTAGCCTTTTGAGCCATGCGTCTAAATAGTGTCAATTCAATGTTTATTGCTCTAAATTTCCACTTTAAACTTTTCACTGCAGCGCTATAAAAAGTAGGCAGATTTTAGCGGTGATTGTGTGCTGAAGCAATATCAACGGATGTAAACGTGGCTCTTTACACAAATTTATGTAAATGCAGGGCTGTGCGTCATCCAGGACTTGTAGCTGGTATCCTTTTATTGGCACTGCTAAATCTCCGTCCTTGTGTGACATTCAACTCCAATCCATGCTCCCTCAAGGATACATGTCTTAGCATAATACAGACAGCTTAGGAGTCATTGAGATGTGGCCCATCTACTCCAGTAGAAAGACACTGCCAGGCAAGGGCCCCCCCCCCCCCCAAAAAAAAAGAAAAGAAAAAATGCTCGTTGCCAGCTTCATGCCAACTCTGTGCCTCTCCAGCTTTGGCACTCTTGACCGCTCACTCAATTTCATTCACACCTCCCCTCCCCCACTCGCAAAGGATGTAAAGAGACAGCATACGGTCCACTTTGGCTGTCCTGTCTGGTCACATTACATTCAAATGCTACGCAAGAGGTCACCTTGTATTCTCTAATAGAATTGCCTATATTTTTTTCCCAATAAACCACATGTTTATCGTCAACTAATATCATCCTTGTGCTGAGTACTGTGCCAGATACAGGGAGACGGGCAAGGTCAAATCCCTCTCTACAGTCCCCATCTGGCACTAACCCCAGTGACAAGGGTGTCTGGGAGAGGGAGCGAGTTTCATGCTGGATGCACAATTTGTCCACTGTTTACTCTTCCATCCATTTGCATCACTGACAGTAGATCTGAGTGACATTAACACGAAGCTACTGTCAGAGTAGTGCCGCTTTCCTCGTACTTGGAGATCATCTCCCAGATTCTGCATATGATGCTTCCATGATGCAACATGCAACTCCACATGTAAGCTAGACGCCTAAACAGCCTCGAGCATCTTAAGAGATCGGTTCTGAGAAATACGATGAGGGGAAAAATTGATTCTCAGCAAAAAAAGTGGAGCAGAGTTTAAAGTATGAATTTTATCCAAACAGTGTGGAGCGAAGAGTGGACTATTTCTTTACAAGCTGCAGTGATTATCCCAGAGCCATGCCAAAAGCTAGCACACAACAGGTTCATTGTACAGTTAAATAAAAGAGACACAACTTGTACATTAGTGAGCTTTAGCTTTTAACCTTTGGAGAGAGCTGAGCTGCCTGTTTCCCCGCTGTTTCCCGACCAAGCTTCCTACCTCCTTGCTGTTGCTTCTCATTAGCGGAAAAGACAGAAATAGGAGTCGAATCGATCTTGTCGGTAAGGAGGGGAAATATGTGAAAACTCAAACTGTTAAAGCATTTCTGAAAATCTAAAACCAATTTCAAAAGCAACTACAGACACATTTTGAACCAAACTGTGAACTGAATATGTGCATCTCCTCACTTATACAGGAAGGTTAGGTTGTGCTTCAGACATGCATCCTGAATAAAGCATCAGAAAAAGTCGCTGCAGTATATGTAACTCGTTTAGGCAGATTTTCAGGACACGGCACTGTGAAAAAAGCTGCAGCTTGTCAGGCTTGTTGATTCCAAGAAAATCCATTGATTACAAACAGCTGCCTTACAGCTTTTATGTCACTCCAACATCTTTGTTTTCTTTTTCAAAAGATCAACTTATTAAAGAAAAGAAATGATCTGAGCGTATAGCTGGATGCGCTTATTGTACATTCAGGTGGATTGCTGAGAAGTGCGGTCCTGTGTTATGTATTACATAAGCACAACAGGGTTCCTCAACCCTGCTAGCGAATGAATAGTCACACCTGATGAGGAACAGAATGACCTGATTTCCTGTATCTCCAGAGACATCTGTGCAGATGAAGGAGCACGGTGCATCAGGCCTCCTTTTGCCTTTTTCTCCAACCTGTCATGGCATCAATCCTGCCTTTAGATGTGCTCTCCATAGGGAACTAATCAGAGAAGGTACAGTGGTTTAACCTTCTCTGTCGTTCTATTTCTAAACGTGAACATATCTATCCATCCAGCCTTATATTTTGTCAACCTTTCTCTTCTTCCTCCTCGGAGATTACGTTTTTCTTCCCTCCTTCTTATGCTGACTTTCTTTCTGCCGCTCCCTCTCTTTTTATCTCTCCTTGCCCCCCTTCCCCTCCCCTCCCCTCCCATGTTTTGGTAGCGCTGCAGCTCTTGGAGCTCAGGGACTATGATTAGGACAGAAGAGAACTGGCTGTAAGACAGAGACAAACTCAGAACTGGGTCATCATTGTTTCTGTGTGAGGGCCCGCTCTGCAGATGAAAAGCTTGAAGACAAGAGCAGCAAATGACGCTCAATACAGTACCGGGAGCCGCAGACATTTCTGTGCTACAGAAATACCCGCGCAAAGGAATATGAACTGCGACGCAGAATTTATGTAATAAGAGTTAAATAAAACATCTTACTGGCCTGCTTTTCTATGTGCGAAACCTCCGAGTTAGTAATCGCCCGGCGGTCTGCTGTAGCCGCGCGACAGAGATGGAGCACAGTCACTGTGCTCGTGAACGAGACAGGGGAAACCTTGGTTGGTTGTCACAGAGTAATAGAATTTTGACACTGATCATCATTTTGCTCCTGCTGTTTTGTGCTCTCTCTGTCTCTCCTTCTTGTCCTCTCTGCAGCCATCTCTCTCTCTCTGTGTCTTCCACCCCTTTAGCAGACAGTCTGACAGGGTCTGTCCCACTGGCCAACCATTCAGCACTCATCATGCGCATCATTTCCTCTCATCATTCCCCCCGGTGTGCTTCTTCCATCTCTTCTGGCCTGTTCACTCGCCATCAACCACTCCACGTAAACCCTTTTATTTGTTCGTGTGTGTGTGTGTGTTTGTGCCTCAGTGTGCAGCCCATAAAATCCCATTAAATAATATATAGTCAAGCACACTGTTTCATGCAGCTTGCTTCGTCACGCTGTCTAAGTGTGCATTTGTGAAGATAGTGTGTGATGTCAGTTTGAAGGAACTAGCTGGGGTTATATTTCATATATAATGTGTTAAAAGCAACAAGTATGGCACCAAAGACATCTTCTGTTGAAAGTTCACATCTACTGTTTTTAGCCTTTTGAGTTCAGTTGAATTTATTCTGAAACTAGGATGCAAACAGCATGTAGTAACTCTATTTAAATACTATGTCTCTAAAATCAGTTACTTGAGGACGAAGAACCTTAACCTGATATTCGTATATCAGAATGTCGGTTCTTCAGCTTGATATGTGTTTTTTTTTAATTTATTTATTTTATTCTGGCTTGTGTTAAACCTTTATTGCAAATCCGAATCAGTGGTGCCTTGGCCTACTTTCCAAACCATCGAGGAGCAAATAATCAGCTCGAGCTAAGGATTTGCCTGGCACTCTTTCAAACGTGGATGCTTGTGAAACATCCCTGTTTGCAAGTGTTGGGTTTCACTGAGAGACTTTCAGAGTGTTTGCCATTTCTTGTAGCTAACAGGGAGGATTTTGAGACCTCTACTGCCACCTAGAGTATAATCAGAGGAGGATCACGAGGGACTGAGCTGCGTGGCTAGACAGGATTTGTAATCATCTTTACAACACCAAAGTGAATTGCAATGCAGTACATGAAATCAAGCTCTTACTTGAATTATGCACATCACAAGTCATAACATGGACACCCATCATTTCCCTGTGTCGATCGTTTCAATACTGGATACTCTGTCTTTATTGTAGGATTATTTATGCCAAACACATGACAATTCCTGGTTTGGTTTTTTGTGGATTTGTTCTTTCACTGCCTCTCCTTTCCTTCCTCGATGAGCCTACTCACAGCATAGAAGTAATGCCAGAACGGTTCCCACTGCCAGAAATTGCCCGGAGGTTTATAAATGAACTATTTGTTGTTCAGAGTGTGGGAAGATATTTCTTTTTATTATACAAGTAAACCCAACAGCAGCGACTAAAAGAAGAGAGGAAACCACGGATCATCAGAGGCTTAAAACCCTTTTGATGTATTATCCACCTCATTTTTTTCATATGATTTCCTTCCCCCTTTATAGTCTGTGCTACAATTCTTCTACACAATTCAAAATATCCCTGCCACTCATCCCACAATGATTTTTCTTATCACCAGCTTCATCTCCTTTTAATTAAACCTTTCACTGGACGGAGACACGGACCATTATGCTCTCTATATTTCAGAGAATAGATGGGAAAATGACTTAACACCTTATGCTGACCTTTCTCAATCACTGCCCGCTGGCAAAGCTACACAAAGCGATTTCCCCAACATATTTATCTCATCCAAAACACACCTTAGACTTAATCTTAATGGCCTTTTCATTACCCTTTTAATTAAGCTGCACTGTGAGTGTTAAATGTCTCTCGGGAGCTTATGTCATATCTAACCTATACACGGTCATTTGGGGTAGTTAAGCCAACATTAAGCACAAAGTATAGCCATCAATTACTCATGTTGTTCTTTATCATGCTTGTGTTGCACAGTAAATAAGCTGAGACGAGCTCTCATTTACATAGCAGCCGTGCTCGTGTTGCAGGCATAGGGGGAAACGAATAAATGCAGGGTTTCAATATATTCAGTGATCTCACTGCAAATGCTGATTGTTTGAGTTCTTGGATGAGTGAGAAATTGTTGATGGAGTAAACAGGAGTTTATTTATATTTTTAAGAAGCGATGCATGCAGGGTTTTTCAGACGAAGCTGAAATTAGCCAGAATTCAGAAATATGATAATAAATGTTTGACTTAATTGTTTTTTATATGTATATTAGATATGGAAAAATCATGAGGCCACTGAAGTTATTAAAGTCTGTGTAATATCAGCATTATGAGCCGTTGTGCAGAAGTTGCAGTCGATTTGTTTTGAGCTCAGCACCTGGACAAGGAAGACGTGCATCTATTTTTTGCATTATTCAAATAAATCTATCAGAAGATTACATTACTGATTACCGTTCAAAATGTGTTTTTCCCAACCTCGAGAATTCATCCACACGAGGAGGATAATTGTTATACATTCCCTGTTCTGTATGAATAATGGGATCTAATCAGAATCACTTCATAATCAAGCCCAAGAGGCATTTTCTCATGCGCACCAACAAGACAATTGTGGGAGCATCACTGATGTTTGTGGGATTCCCAGTAGATGGCAGTATTTCCTCACATCCTCCTTGTGGTAATGAACGCAGGGGAGAATACACCAGAGACAAAGGTCAAATAATATAAAATAGTGGTCACCAGGAGACCGGGGACTTTCTCAAGTGCCTAGTGGAGCTACTTAGTGTGAGATCTGCCGGAGGAAAAGGCAGAGGTCCCATTTCCACCTCAGCAAAATGAAATCAAAAGCCCCTGGGATTTGAGGCTGACCTTCCTATAGCTCCCACTGCACTTGAGTGATTACTGAAATATAAGAGACAGGATGGTGCAGAGCTGAATTGTCACATAATCCTTAACCGCAAAGCTACATAATCGCCCGAATATGAATTGTTTTACATGAATTAACAATTATTGTGTACTGTAATTAACATTTGCAGTGAACTGTAATTTGGAGTCTTTGGAGCGGATACAAACACAACACACAAGAGCATTATTATTACAAAGAAAACAAAGAGGCCGAGTTGTTTCTGCGTTAGGAAACAATGCTCTGTACTGTAAAGTGTAATATGAGGCTAAATGCCAAACTTGTTTGTTTAACGTTTCAGTGAAAAGGAATTCCTTTGGTTCGCTTCAGACCTGCATGCATTTTATTGGGTTGTGTGGGATTTGGGCAGGAAACCAGAGCTAATGCCCCCTCTCCCACTTCAAACGGATGCCAGGCACCCTTAAATGTCATGAGGTGGTTAGAGAGTTGACGGAGGTGGGAGGGAGCGGAGATTGAGGAGTGGGAAGCTCGGGCTCGCTGGGTGGAAGAGAGAAATCCAGCCACAGCGGGCTCTTCTCTGAGCTTATCAGCATGTGCTGGATGTAGCTTTATCGAGGCTGCTAAGGCAAACCAGATGCAGCGTAAGCTGCTCTGTGCCACTATGTGTCAGGTACAGCCTGGGTCAACCTGAGGCGCCTCAGCAGAATAGGAAGAGGCCAGTATACATTTCAAACTCACTGCAGATGTTCCCGACTAGTGTACAGTAGAATGTAAGCTCCCGCAGCTCATCTTTTTGACTTTGAAGACTTTAGCAGGTCTCATGTTGTCACTTCAGTTACTCACCCAGATGGATTTCTCCTAATTTTTTTTTTTTGTCAGATTGACAGCCTGCAGTAGTTTATAGCCGGGGTATCAAAGCCTGCGAGTGTGTGTTCTCGGGTGTGTTGGTCACTGGGAATCCCATGTTCTCTTTCCAGCAGTAGTGTTTATAGGATTTTGCCTCATTTTCTCCAGTGTTAATTTATTTCCATGAAGGCAGCCATGACACATTCTCTCCTCTGCCTTCTGTCTCTGTGTGGCTTAACTTTACTGAGCTATGAATTTCTCTCCTCGTCTCTCTACCCCGAATGGAAGAATAGGCTAGACTGACTTCAGTTGCTGCTACATGGTTATTTTGACAGCGAGCGTGATCATGACTTTTAATTCCTCTCCCACTTTTCCTCCCTTTCTCAGTTCTTTCAGTCTCCCACAGCCTTGCTATGAAGCTATAAGTGTCCACACCCTGCTATTGCATTGTTTTGTGGCTTTGGATAACTTCTCATTGTATTGTTATCCTTCCCAAAGTATGTCATTTTGGTTCATATGTGTCAGTGGGTAGATGAACATGTTGTGGCGCGGTTGACTTCAATTTCCCATGCCTGTGACTAAGCATTTCAAATCTCCAGCTTGCCAGTATCACGCTCCTCCCTCGCTGCGAGTCTGTTTGGCAACGAGAAAATACCATCTCTCTCATCATCTGGATTATATGGAGCTCATTTGGCTTTGATTGCAAAACCATTAAGGCACAAATGTGTCGGTGACTGACCTGTGACCTTTCTCATCAACTGACAAGCCAAACTGGTCTCATCACTCTTCCTCTCAGGCTCTTTGGACCCTTGGGGTCTGGGTCAGGGTTTGGTAGTGTTTTTGCTGTCTTTCTGTCAGACTTGCATGATCCACTGCCACTTTACGAGGGAGAACGAGGCTGAGAAATGAGGCATTTCCGGGCTCAAGGGTTTATTCCTACAGCACAGTGGATTACATTACAAGTTAGAAAGGGGATGGGGGGTGTGACTCATCTTTTTAAGAAATATTTTGCTCCGAACGCTGACCAGACGATCTAAGAGACAAACCTGTGCAGGCAGGATGCTTTTGGATGTGCCTGTAAATTAGATCACTTTTGTAAGACTATTTCCAGCCTTACATGTGTTTTTAAAAAGTTGAAGCATGCACAGTAATCAGTCTTACATTGTGACACCCTCAGTAACTACTCTGGTGGATGTTAAAAGAAATGCTTATCACATATCTAGTGGAGTGAAACTGTCAAACTCTGTGCTTCTTCGTTTTAGTTGAAAACAAAAGAGGATATAAAACAGGGAAATGTAGTCTTTTCTTGTCTTACTTTTTTTTTAATAGCTGTTCCTCCAGGCATACATTGAAATGCATTTCATGCTAATAAATACCAAAAACAAGCTGGTGCACACATGGTGAAAAACAGGCGTATTGCTATTTGATATTCTGAACTAAAAGGCAGCTGTCAACAACTTATGATCAATAGTGTCATCAGTACAGTAAAAACAACAAAAGACGACATGGCATCTCACATTACTGGACAGTTTTAATACTGCTGTGTGTCATCATATGGCTATCACCCTGCGCTGAGGACGGGTTTCTGTGCTGCCCACGTCTCCCCCTGGGCAGCATGTTTGCTCCAGATCACAGCTGACCATGTGCTGCAGGGACGGAGGGGAGGGGAGGGCAGGCGGAGGCTGACGAAGGACCACGACTTGAATGCTGGGGCCCTGCCGCAGGAGGTCGGTCAGCTCTCCGTGTGTTGAGTTGACCACCGACACACCGTTCACCTCCACCAATCTGATAGCAAAACACACACATGCAAAGATAACGTGTTAGATCTTTATTTCAAGTTATGTGTGGAGAAAAAATACATCTTTGCAGGTAAACGTAAGACCTCGGCTTATGTAACACACAAAAAATGCTCTTCAAATCACAGAGCATTAAAACTGAAAAAGCTACACATTTACACAGAGCTCGTTAAAAGCCCTCTATTAGTTTTTCTTTATAGACACCCAGGTTAAACTTAGAGCAGCTCCTTGTGTTTTTTCATTAGCTGTGTAAAGAGCATTGGCGCGAATGCTGCGATGAAGGAACACAAACAGCGAGCCTGAAAGACTCTTTTCAGCTACTGTGATTCTGTCACACAGACTTCTTTTTCCCCTGCAGTATTGTTTTAAATGATGGGCAGTGTCTCTAAGCACAGTTCGTACTCGCTGTAATTCTATAATTTCTTAATTGCATGAAGTTCTTTTATCTGTTCCCTCTCACTCTCTTCTGCATCCAAGTATTCCGACGGCCCGGACTACACCTTTCTTGGCTGCTGCCTCAAAGCACATTGTGCGCTGTCTATCTTGGGTCAATCAAATGGACCAATATGGCAAGGCCATGATGATCCACTTGGTAAAATAAATCCGCTTGGCATCTTTCTTGGCCTTAAGACAACAATTCTGATGGCTAAAGATCCAAAAAAACAAAAAAAAACAACAAAAAAAAACCAAGCAACATAACGT